GGGTTGTAACGGGCGCACTGCCCAGGATCTGATTCGACACTTCTGAGACAGACATTGTTTGGACATTCGGCAAGAGACTATTTTGGACTTCGTCATCATGATCTTGGTCTACTCTCTCGCCTCCTCCCTCTTTCGTCTGTCCCTCCCCCATCTCTTATCCGTGGTTTCTCCCCATGTGTGTGTACGAAGGAGGGACCTTCCTTCCATGATTGCGGTCCCTCCTCTCTCGCCCATGTGTGATGTGTGATGGATGTCGGGTCAGTCCCGATCAGATCAGATTCTCTCTTTCAAATATTCCGCTGTGCCATTTCATGCCATCTTGTATGTATCGGAATGTACAATTGCTTGTTGATGCTGCGCTGATCTTGCATTGTCCATTTCAGTCCTTTTCATCACATTGTGGATCCTTGGTGTACTGCGCATTGCTCCCCCGAGCATGCGTCACTGACGAAGCCCATGATCGACGAAACCATGTTGTTGGATGACAAGCAAAGATTGAGAACAATGGAAGAGCTCAACCAGGTTGGCACGATGGCAGAAGTGGCATATCTGGAGAACTCAAGAGCACGAGAGGAAGCCAAAACGGAAGCGCAAAACCACGACCAGGAGAACGGAACTGACGGCATGGTCTATACGGAAGGAGAGGTAGAGTCAACTAAACTGGACAGTACGGCCACCTTGCTCAAATGGAAAGCCAGGACAGAGGAATCGAGCGAGACGGAACACAACGAGCAAGGGGAGCAGGGTAGCAAGCAAGTGCAATCCAAAGGAACCAAGGCCACAAGCGAATCCCAGCAGATGCAAGGGGATCAAGACCAAGAGATGGAGTCAGAGAAGGGGGGGTCAGGGGCTCTCAACCCCTTCGAGGAGCCAATGGAGGTTTCACAGCAAGCGGACAGCGGACAGGCCCCATTATGCGAGCAGGAAATGGGAGAAGCAACGGGCCAGGATGACGGAGACACAGGCAAAGGGGAGGAGTCCTTCGAAGTAGGACCAGCCAATTCTGCCACGAAACCTAAACGAGGGAGAGAGAGGGGGGATGGAGAGGAGGGTGAAGACTCAGATGGGAACTCAAGTGAGGACGGTTGGGAAGATGCAGAAGATGAGGAGGAGGAAGAACCAGAGACGCTAGAAAGATGGGTCAAGTGTGTGCATGCATTGGAATGGGAGCGTCAGGTTGCGTGCGAGGTTCGCCTGACACACCACAAGCATTTGCGAAATTTGAAGGAGGCAACGACAACAACAGAGGGCATCACCACAACAAACCGTTTCGAGATATTGAAAAAGGAGAAAGAATAAATGAGTTTTATGCTGCACAGTATGGGTGGAAGGCACAACACCGCAACAACGACATCCAGGTGCAAAATGAGGGTTACAGCAAGCAGTTCGAGTGGCCAAAGACCTACCAACCAAATGCAACGAAGCGGTCTGAGCACAAGCGGAAGCCGCAACAAGAAGTGCAGCAGACAGACAAGCAAGGACAAAGCCAAGCATCAACAAGGGAAGAAAGAGGAGATGAAGAGCTAATGGAGGATGCACGCAGGCAAGCAGCGATCTTGGAGGCTCATATTAATGTCCTCAAAGACCAGAATCGGGAGTTGGGGGAAGACACCACGAATTTAGATAAGATAGCTTATGCGCCACACAAGGAAATTGAAGCATCGACGAAGCGATATGCCAGAAACTCACTCAAACGCAAGGTCATCCTCCCATTCAGGTGGAATGAGGACCACATGGATTGGGAGGTCACAATTCATCAATTGTTGGCGCTAGTTACGGTAGAGGAGGCCAACTGCTCCGGTCAGTCCCTGAAAGGAATCATCTCAGAGGACTTGCCAGCCCATGCATACGTGATAGGCGACTGGAAGCAGGAAAAGGAAGACTACGCAGACACAGCGGGCACCACACAAGCAGCGGACTACAACACAATCATGTTCAGGCTGCAGGAAATGGCGAAGTTGAGCGAGGGCCTGACATGGATGCCATGGAAGGTGGTGGAGACCATCCCCTATGGGCTGTTAGAGGACTTGCCAGCCCATGCATACGTGATATGGGACTGGAAGCAGGAAAAGGAAGACAGTGCAGACACAGCGGGCACCGCACAAGCAGCGGACTACAAGGCAATCATGTTCAGGCTGCAGGAAATGGCGAAGTTGAGTGAGGGCCTGACATGGATGCCATGGCAGGTGGTGGAGACCATCCCCTATGGGCTGTTAGGGGGATTGGTGGCGGCAGAATGGGTGGCCAGAAGTGCGGCGATCGTAGTTAAAGTCGACGTAGTTAAAGTCGACGCCTTTTCGTGGAAGCCAGAGTACATTCAGAAGAGGATTGCACGGGGAGCAACAAGGTTGGATTTGTTAACACTCCCTAACGTCAAGCAGGAGCGCAGGAGAATGACACCTCCCAATGCAGGATAACAAGGGAAAACGACCGGAGAAGCGTAGAAGAATGGTGCAGTCACAGCCAAGGAAGGATCCTGAGATCAGAGTGGTCTCTTGGAACATAAACGGGCTAGCGCAGATTTTGGACAACCCGGACAAGTGGAACAACTTCGTTCAATACTTAGGATGGTTTGACCAGAATCCTCCAAACTTCGTCTGCTTACGAGAAACCTATCTGACCACCTCAGAAGAGCACGAGCAAGTCGAGAACAGGATCTTACAAAGATTGAGATGGGTATCAGCAGACTTTTGGGCACCGGCTCCACGCTCACATTCGGCGGGAGTGGCAATTCTCCAAAACAAGCGGGCTTCCTTAGTGAAGAATCGAAAGATAGAAGAGGTGCAGGTAGACAATAGAGAGGGAAGATGGATAAAGTTGAACTTTCTATTTCAAGAAGAGCAGTTCACTCTCTTATCCAACTATGGACCCAACACTTTCCAACCAAGAACACAGCTATTGGAGGAACTACAGGCTATAATAGAACCCACTAGGCATATCACAATAGCAGGGGATTGGAATGCCGCACTAGAACCAGCTAGGGATAGAATGTCGGGAGGACACAGCGCATGCGAGAGCGCACAGGGGGAGGAGGCACTTCCAATTCATAACATGATGACTTTTCTCGACATGATTGATCCCTACAGACGGTATTTTCCTGAGGATAGGCAGTTCACGCATCACAAGAGGAATAGGAGTCAACATGTCTCTGCATGGAGAATAGACTACTTCTTAATCTCTCAGACGATCATAGGTATGATCCACTCAGTTGGTATAGGCGACTTTCCCTACTTCAGTGGATTAGACCACAAACCCATTTTTTTGTACCTATCCACATATAAGCAAGTCAGGAGAGGAAAAGGATTCTATAAGGTAAATAATTTGATTCTTTAAACCCCGGAACTGAGGCAGGCCATCTTGCAACCTTGCCTCAACTACGACCCGGGAAACCAGTCCTTCCCAGTGCTCCTAAACGCTATCAGTCGAGCATTGGCGACAACGGCTAGACAGCTAGCAAACAAAAGGAAGGCCCGAGAAACAGAGCTCCAACAGGCATTGCGAATATCAGATTGAACCCAGGCGCAAAGTTGTACGAGAGAATATGGCAGGCAGCAAGGGAAGAATTGGGGGCGTGGGAACGCTGGAGGACCAGGGGGCTGCAGATGAGGGCAAGAGTCAAGAAGTGGGAGGATGGAGAAAGAATGATGAAATATTTCTTTCAGAAAATTTGGTCCAAAGGAAGGAGCTCAACAATAGAAAGGCTTCAAACACCGGAAGGGCAGGTTTCAACACCGGAGGAGATGGTCGCAGTGGCACAACAATTCTACATCACCTTATACACTTTTAGGGAGTCGGAGCATTCGCAATAGCAGGTGCAAGGAGCCAGAGCAAAGTTCTTAGCCTATCTAGAGAGGATTGTGCCTAGTGCATAGGTGGAGATGCTAGAAGCCCCACTCACTTAGGAGGAGCTGTGGGAAGCACTAAAGTCAATGTCACCCAACAAGACTCCAGGAAAAGATGGCTTGACAAGGGAATTTTGGCTTGAATTTTGGCCAATCCTAGGGAGCGAATATATGGCATACCTAGAAAGGGCCTGGCAAGCAGAGGGGTTGGGCTAGGATCTGGCCACAGGGATCGTCACACTATTGTACAAAAAGGGGGACCCTGAAGACATAAGGAATTATAGGCCCATTACCCTGCTGACACTCACGCACAAGATCGTAGCGAAGGCCCTGGCCAGCAGACTCAGGAGGGTAACTAGGGGCTGCTTCCATTTGGATCAGGCCGGTTTTATCCCAGGCCGGTTTATCCTGGACAACATCATGACCTTGTCAAAATCAGTACGCTACATTAAGGATAGGAGAATCAATGTGGCAATACTGTTCTTTGACTTTGAGAAGGCGTATGACCAAGTGAACTGGAGTTTCCTCCAGCAGTGCATGAAAAGGATGGGGGTTAGACCTAATTTCAGGAAATGGATACGGGTGCTATACAATGATGCACACAAACAGGTTCAGGTGAACAGTCACCTGTCGCAAAACTACAGGATGTCGAGATCGGTCGGACAGGGTGACCCCTTAGCAACACCCATCTTTCTGTTCATAATGGAGGTGGTGGCATCATTTCTTAGAAAGGATCCCTCCATCCAACGTTTGACAGCAGAACCGGACCAGCAGGGTAGACTGATCCAGTTGCCAACGACGCTCCTTTTTGCTGACGATTTGACGGTTCTGATTCGCGCCTCAAGTTCATCTTTTGAGGCTCTCACTAGAGCAGTGCTGGCCTTCCAGCTGGCGTCGGAAATGAGAATAAACTGGCCTAAGACAATAGGATGGTGGCTGCACTACGGGGAAGGAAAAGGACAGAGACCGGATAACACCCCGGAGGGAATGCAGTGGGTAACAATAGAGGAACCACTGCGCTACTTGGGAATCAGGCTAGCAGAAACAGGACCTCAACACTGAGTGGCTCCAGAGATTCTAGCAAAAATTCTTACGAAGCTAAGTGCTTGGGCAGCAATTTACACCTCTCTGTTTGGTAAAGCGCTAATTTTAAATGCTTCCATTTTTTCGATGTCGTGGTACGTAGGCACAATTTGGACACCACCGGACCAGTCCATTAGGGAGTTTAGAAGAAGATCAGCAGCCTACTTATGGACAGCAAACCCAAGCAAGCAGAATGTCATATCCAAGGTCGCTTGGAAGCACGTTATCAAGCAGAAGGAGCAAGGGGGGTTGGGCATATTGGACCCGGAGCAGCAGATGAAGGCACTGCAAACGAAGTGGGTTTCAAAGCTTATCACCCATCCTCAGCTTCCATGGGCTCCTCTGGCCTTAGAACACATTAGAAGACTGGCTAAATACAAAACACCTGCCAACATGTCAGGGTTGTATTGGGTAATGAGTAAAGGCTGGGTGTGGAAACGCAGGGACGGAGGGGGGATATCCAGGGTAACTGAGGGGAGGGGTGGCTCCTATTGGGTACAACTCCTCAAGCTCTGGGGGGACATCTTCCCAGCAAGGGTAAGGGAACCAAGCAACAGAGAGGAGGTGCTCCGTCAACCATTATTCTGCAATCCCTTGATCAAGGATCAGCAAGGGAAGCCGTGCACCCTAGCAGCACGAGACTCGAAATGGGGAACGTGGGTGGAACATGGAGTCTGGCAGGTCAGACATTTATGGTCAGATGAGAAACAGTGATGGAAGACAGCGCGAGACCTTGGGAATGATATGAAGGGCACCCACAAGTTGCTAGAAAATCTGAATGACGTTCTTCTCTCCATCCCACCAGAATGGGTAAAGCTGCTAGAGAAGGGGCCGCAATGGGAGAGGGGAGACTGGGCCACGTGGTTACACGAGGATAAGCCAGAAGAGGCCTTCAGGATAAGGGGCAAGACGGGCCTGGGGGATGCATGGTTATTGTCTGACATGTTCTCAATAGAAGAAGTAGGGACCACCACCAGTCAATTAGATAAAACATATACTTCCCCGGTTACAATCTTAAAAAACGCAGTGCGGAAGGTCAAAGTGGTGGAGGCGGATAACTGCACGATTTATGCTCCAACTACGGCTCTGGAGGATTTAGAAGTGGACCCGGCAGAATGGGCATGGAACCTCAGGGGAGGTTTACTGAGGGTAGCCAGAAGAATAAACATACTTCACTACACAACCAAACTGGGGTACAGACTAAGAAGGAGGTCTCACCCACTGGCAGAACCACTGGCTATTCGGTGGGAAAGGAGGTTGGAAGTGCCCAAGGTGCAGGTCGCTCAACTTCCGTGGTCAGCGTTGAACAACATAAGGCTAGGCAGGGTCAGAAGCTTACAGTGGCTGATTTTTCACGTAGCGCCCCCAGTCAACGCTTGGCTGCACGAGCGCCGCAGCCACCACCAGAGGGACCAGGTCAACCAGAAGTGCCACCTCTGCACGGATGAAGGGACAAAATCTTTGCTTCACTGCCTGCTACAATGTCCAGAGGCGGTCCGACCACCAACACCTTATTGGCCGGCACTCCTTCAGTCATGGAGAAAGATAATTCCGGGCAAATCCAACAGACCCAGATCTAAGGATGAAGTACTAAGGCAACCGCTCTTTGGGAATGAATGGCTAACGAATGAAGCAAACAACCCTCTCTTCCTGGATCAAAAATGGCTATCCTGGATCAAAAACGGCATATGGAAGATTGATCACGTATGGAACAAAGACAGAAAAGAATGGATATCTGAACATGAAATCAGCATCAAACTAAAGGATGTCACAGAAGAGGAACCAACCTCCAATATCTCCTCAGTTGCATCCCACAGGAATGGAAGGATATCTTACTTAAAGATGAAGGGTGGAAACCAGGGGAGTGGGGTCTTATGATCCAAGACATAACCCCTTCCAGAGCCKATCAATTTTCCCACAGACAACAAGGCGCTCACACCATGGCCACCTTCTTCTCCTTCCCAATCTGCGGCTCCAACAACAACATGCCTACCATCGCAAACTGC